AATCAGTGAATAACAAAAGTTGTGGCAAAGAGTAAAAGAATATTTATGTACCTTGTGTACAGGTTGCCATAGTGCAAGAATACAAAGCCACAGTAGAGAAAAAGCCAACGTTCATATAGGAGCATGACTGAAATATAATAGCTATTTCAAAAATTATAGGAGACGAGATTTGTAGCAGTATTTTCCGATTATATCATTTTGACAATATCATAATTATTATGACAAAAATTAATTTCTTACCTTATTTAATTTTTAGGGGCATGATGGGAATAACAAAGAAATTTAAAAATGAAAAAAATAATATGTAAAATAAAAAAAATTAAAAAAATAAAAGAATGTAATTATACGTGGCACAAAAATCAAAGGATTTGTATCAATAACAACAAATACGAGGATTGCATCCAACTTCTGTTTTCGATTTTGAACTTATACCGAATTTTTTATAATATAAAATATTGATTAATTTAATGGTAATGTCACATGGGTTCAAAGTATAGTGTCTGCTAATAGCCTATATCTTTTGCTGTGATTCCACTTATGTAAGCAAAAGTATATCCTCTATTTTTCTTTTTAGAATATAGATTCTCTTATCACAGTGAGTGCATTTACCAAAGCCAGTAACATGTTATATCATTATAATGTTATGCTGTTATCATATTTGTATACGGCATTTTTATACCACCTCATGTGGCAGATGATACGGTAGAATTAGTGTGTGCGCAAAATATAGATAAAATATTTGTGTGTATGTAAGTGTTGTTTGGTTTTCAGTATTAATTTACATAAATTGGTGAGAACAAATGGTTCTCCCACAGTACTATAGGATTTGGTGTCATATATGACATTGACGGGTGCATTTTGCAAATATAATTTGAATTTATGCTTAATTTTTGTTGATGTAGCGGACATATGGCACCTGAGTATGCAATTCAAGGAATTGTAACAAGCAAAGTTGAGATTTACAATTTTGGGGTGGTTATGCTCGAAATTGTTAGTGGGAAGAAAAATGCAGGATACAACTTCAACCATGAGAGTGAGTATCTCTTGGACATGGTAAGCAAAACTGACAGGACGTATGGTGCTTTGTAATATCTCCTACTTTAAAGTGAACATGCATACTTTGAATTCTAAACCCTCATCATTTTACTGCCGGCTTATGTTGCATATAAAAATGGAAGCCTCATGGACTTGGTGGATAAAAATTTGTCTGGCATTTATGATGCAAAACAAGCCATCACCATCTTAACCTTGGCCGTGATGTGCACGAATATATCTCCTACTCTAAGGCCAAGAATGGCAGACATTGTGAGTATTCTTGTTGGTGAGAAAACCTTTGAGCAGATTAATCCGCCTACTGTGGAAGATCATCCGTGATGTGCACGAATATATCTGCTACTCTAATGCCAAGAATGGAAGACGTTGTGAGTATATTCTTGTTGGTGAGAAAACCATCGTAGAAGTAGCTTTCTCTCTATCTATCTACTTTTTTGAAATTTCAATGAATTTTCCAGAAGCAGTTTTTCCAATCAATCATAAAGTTTGTTTTCTGCTTCTTCCAGGAAGCAACCAATATTCTACTCTGACACGTGAGAAATGCATGGCCCGCCCTCAATAATTTGCCACCACAAATCCGAGGACCAAGTTGATGCATTCAATTATTTTATGCAAATTATACACGGCAAAAATCAGTGTGCAAGGTGTTTACATTCATTGTGCGGCTCCCACTTAATTAATGATTTGATTTATTAGATCAGTATTTTTTTATGTTAAATTATTTATAAGAAAAAAGAAAGATGGTACAACCTGTTGCATTATAAAAAGGGGAAGAAGGCTTAGTGTGCATATTGCCAAAGTAAACTAGAATCTGAAAGCAAAGCACAATGGTTGAAACCCGTCCAAGACTTCTTGTTGAGTATATGCTCCTGAGTTTCCTCCTTTGGCAGTTTGGTTTTAGGCATGGATATTCCGAGACAACTACTGAGTTGGATCCTAAAGAAGGTATACGACTGTTTTGTTTCTCATCCCTCTCTACTCTTTTTATTCACATTTCTCTCATTTTGAATTAAGAAATACTTTGTTATGAGAGCTACTTAAGAACGAAAAATATGCTCGAGTATTCAGCCCAAATTCAACAACAAAATTGAAAGATGTGACATATTTGATTGTTGTTTATGCTATTCTCATATTGAAGCACCATACACATTTCCACTGTTTTTGTTTTTTGAATATATTTAACTAAGTTACTAGAGGCATTCTCGGATCTTGAAAATGCAAATTCGTTTCTAGTTTTCTTTTTTCGAAAATGTATTGCGAAAATGTTACCAGACGGACCTTATTTTGCTGATAATATGTACATGCACGTAGACTCATTTTAGTTTTGCTTTATTTCACAATCCTTGATGCTACAGCTCGAGTTTGAGATATTAACACACACTCTCCCTCTCTCTCTCGCAGTGGACGTCCTCCAATTGATCCTAGATATGTTACAGTATAACAGGCCATCATATTCATACCCCAATAGCTCAATTTGCCGTTATCCAGACTTGGATACTAACAATTTGAAGATCAAGTGCACAGAGGACTGTGGACGTGACAAAAACAGAGCATGCCATATCAAAGAGTTGTAAGTCACAATAAAATTAATATAATATATACAGAGTACTCGTTCGGGCCTTTTTAACAATGTCATCTCATGATGCGCACTGTTCGGGCTTTTTTTAATAATAATATTCTAAGAATAATTTTTCTCAAATGATTTGTGTTGCAGTTCTTTAACTGGCGCCGCTTTAACTGGTTTTATACCTAAGGAAGTGGAGAAGCTTAAGCATTTGGAGATGCTGTAACTATTTCCTATCATTATTCCAACAGTTTTTTAAAATTTTTTTTTTAATGCATACCTATATTTATAATCAGCTTTTAAAAAAAAAGATTTCAGAGAATTAAAAAAAAAAAAATTTTACAAGCTTCAGAAGTTGTCTTTGCCAGTGCCTTTTCTTTTGGTGCAGGATCAAGTTGAGCTTAGATATTTTACATCTTTCTTTAAAAAAAAAAAAAATCTTTCAACCGATCCCTTCTATTAATAGTCACGAAAGAGGGAAACCAAGCCACTAAATATAGAGTAATGCTACACTTACCACATTTTTATCCCACATTTCTATACCACGTGATGTGTCATGTCCATATCATATGCCACATCAATTAAATCAATGAAGTGTATTTTAATAAAGAAAGTTTAATTAATAGTTTTTTTTAAGTGTTAATAAATTATAAAAGAAAAGAAAATGTTAAATAGTTTTAATTGATGTGGATGTCAACCTCATCTGCCATATAAGGTGGTATACAAATGTAGTAAAAGTATCCTAAATATATACAATTTAATTTTCTTATTTATTAATTATATTAACTTGGTATACAATTTAATTTTCTTATTTATTAATTATATTAACTTGGTATACAATTTAATTTTCTTCCATTCTTCTTTAACGATGAATCCATTGCATGTATTATAAGAAAATATTAATGTTGATTCTGTATGCTTATATGCTGAACAGTGATTTATCCGGCAATCAACTTACCGGTTCCATACCTGATACCTTGTGGAATTTGTCATCCCTCGTACAATTGTAAGTGTATATACATAAATATAGATAAGGACTTAAGGATTCACTTGAGGGCCAGACCTTACCTCAAAACATATACATATTTATTGAATGCATATTAATTAAGTTTTCATATATTCAGAGACCTTTCAAGAAATCAATTGACAGGAGGCATATCAAAGCACATACAATTCTTGCGCAATCTTACTTATCTGTAAGTATATATCCAATATTGGTTTTTTTTTTTCTTTTCTCTTTTTTGCTTTGGTTACAAGGGAGGGAGACCATAGGGTGAGGGACATTCTAATTATGGTATTGAGTGTGGGGGTAAATTCTTTCCCAACTCTTGAAATATATGAGCTCCTCAAAGCTTGCCCATAAAGTCCTTTTTTTTCTTTTCTTTTCGGGTATTATTTAACCCTTCAATTTGAGATTTTCCCCCAACTTTTTTTTTAATCAAATTAAAGCAGATACACCAACTACTACTAACATCACTACAATGAAACATAATCTCAAATAAATAAGGCCTATAAATTCAAAATAATTTTTTTTTTCTTCTCACAACTCTTGAAATATATGAGTTCATTTTTGCTCACCACCTTAGCTCAATATGTACCCCAGCCTCCTCAAAACTTTCCCTTAAAGTTATTTTTCTTTTCTTTTCTGGTATTTAACCCTTCAATTTGAGATTTTCCACAAACTTTTTTTAAAATCAAATTAAAGCAGGTACACCAACAACTACTAACTCACATCACTACAATGAAACATAATCTCAAATAAATAAGGCCTATAAATTCAAAATAATTTTTTTTTTCTTCTCACAACTCTTGAAATATATGAGTTCATTTTTGCTCACCACCTTAGCTCAATATGTACCCCAGCCTCCTCAAAACTTTCCCTTAAAGTTATTTTTCTTTTCTTTTCTGGTATTTAACCCTTCAATTTGAGATTTTCCACAAACTTTTTTTAAAATCAAATTAAAGCAGGTACACCAACAACTACTAACTCACATCACTACAATGAAACATAATCTCAAATAAATGAAGCCTATAAACTCAAAATTAAATATAAAAAAAGTAAAAGAAGAGAGGAGAAGGGAAGTGATGCTTCCTCTCCCCCTC